TCTACCCAGGGGGATAGCTTGAGGTTCCGTCTCAAAAAAAAAAAAAAATTACTGAACCAAAGGTAATTACTGCATAGTCAATTCTCTGCATTTGCACATTCCATATCCAAGGATTCAACCAATCACGACTGAAAATATTTGAAACAAAAACATCTGAACATGTGCAGACTTTTCTTCTTGTTATTCCCTAAATAATACAGCATGACAACTATTTAGTTAACATTTACATTGTATTATAAACAATCTAGAAATAATTTAAAGTACGCAGGAGGATTACACCATTTTATATTGGTGACTTGAGCATCTGTGGATTCTGGTGTCTGTGTGGGGTCCTGGAAATAATTCCCCATGGACACAAGGAGTGGGATGACTATATTAACTTATGACACATCCACTCAAAGGACCATTTAAATTATGACTATAAATTATAATTATTGTGTAGCAATATAGAAAACACCCATACTGAATGATAATATGGTATTATTGCTCTTCTTTCTTTTTCCTTCTTCTTCTTCTTTTGTTTTGTTTTGTTTTGTTTTGAGACCCAGTCTCACTCTGTGCCTTGGGTAGAGTGCCATGGCATCTTCATAGCTCACAGCAGCCTCAAACACTTGGGCTCAAGTGATCCTTCTGCTTCAGCCTCCAGAGTAGCTGGAACTACAGGTGCCTGCCACAACATCCAGCTAATTTTTCTATTTGTAGTAGATATGGGGTCTCACTCTTGATCAGGCTGGTCTCCAACTCCTGAGCTCAAGCAACCCTCCCACCTCAGACTCCCCAAGTGTTAAGATTACAGGCGTGAGTCACTGCACCCGGCCTATTTTTCCGTTACTTATCACTTGCAAATACTAAAAATAAATCAACTTAACTTCTCATGTTTATTTGTTGACTTGCACACCCCTCCTACCCCTGTAGAAAGTGAGTTCTCTGAGGAGCAAAAATCTCTGGTGTTTTTGTTTATTGATGAAGCACGGGTGTCTAGAACAGTGCCTAAAACTTGGAGGGGAATGGGAAAAGATGGCAGGGATTCAGAGTAGGAGGGGTTTGAAGGGGAGGGAGGGAGGTGGCCCTGGCTCACTCCTTCACCTAGGTAGGAGAGAGCAAGTGGAGGAGGGAGGGCTGAATGTCCATTGGACCAAGGTCTCCGTCTCCACACAAGTGTCTACTCCAAAAGGGAAGACAGAAACACCTCCATTATAATTCTCAAGGACTTGGTGTGGTGTGATGAGCAGGAGACTGGACCTATAGTCAGCCCTGCCACTTACTATGTCTGTGCCCTTGATCAAATTACTTAATTTCTCTGGGCCATTCGTTCTTTATCTTAAAGTGAGAATAAAAATAATTACCCATCTCAAGGGGTTGCATGAATAGTACCCAGAGCAGGGACTGGCACATAGGTGCTCAACAATGCTGGTTTCTTTAGTGCTGGCCCATCCTTCTTTCTTCCTTCTGGGAGTCCCAGCCAGGTCGGGAGCTGTCCACAGTGCTGAAGACATCCTCTTCCTTTGTCCCTCCCTCCTCTATCCATCCCTCTCTCCATTCTCTCCTTCCCTTCTGCTCGTAGTTCCCCAGAGCTCCAGGGTCTGAATAGATCTAATTTTCCAAGTGGCTTCTTCAGGCCCCTGAGGGGGACAGAGAGGGAATGAGGCACACATGAGGCGCTCCCTGGGCAGGAGTCAGGAAGCAGGAGTGGTGACGGTACAGGCTGTGGTGGGAATGGGACTCTGCCCCATGTCCAGAACCTGTCTGAGAGCCTGATGTCTGGAGACCTTGGTGCAGGAGCCTTAGACCCATGGACAGGCAGTGAGGCGGCTTGGAGGGCGCAGCACAGCAGGTGGGTCGGGGGAGCCAGCTTGGAAAGAAGGCAAGAGGGACCGGGTGGTGGGTCAGGAAGGTGATCCTTCGCTTGAGGGGCCAGAAGGGTCATGACTCTAACAGGAATCCCTCCTTTTCCCTCCCTGGGTTCCTTTTTTGGTCATTAACCTTCCCTGTTTTTGTTATTTGTCTATTAATGCAACTAAAGGCTTTTCAAGTTTTGGAGTTATGGTCCTGTGGCATTGACTAACTGTGTGAGCTTAGCTCCATGAACCAAATAAGCTGTGGCTAACCCTCAGCACCTATCTCTCAAGTCTAAAAATACAAATGGTCCCCTCTAGGACTGCACATTAATCTGCTGTGCCCAGAGGTAGATTCACATGCTCCTGATGACAAGAAGAGAAGAGGGGACATGACTAGCTTCAGAGACGAAAATTACCTGTCTCTTGATTTTTGTTGACACACAGGACATCAGAGCTGAAGGATTGTTGGAGACATAAACCTTACTTTCTCTGTACAGCTAGGAAAACGGAGGCACGGGAAGGAGTATGAGCTTGGTCCCACAAATCAGGGGTAGAGCTTGGGCTAAAAACTGGCTCCTGCTTTGGCAAAATCTGGTCTGCTGAGGGGTTGAGCACTCTGTGAGTCCCTGCAGGCCACTGACTGTAGAATTCTTGGGACACTTAACAGGACCAGTAGGGCCTCAAAGGGGATCCTGCTGCTGCTTTGTGGGACCAGAGGAAGCCATATGCCTCTTTGTGCTTCTGTGACCCCATCTGTACACAAAGGAACTGGTCTAGAAGTTTCTATCTCCAAAGAGCCTTCAGGTCTGATATTGCAGGTGTCCATAAAAAGAGGTGTTTTTTCCTTTGGCGGGAAGCGAAGCTCCAGTCCCAATTCAGCCCTAAGTCGGTGAGATCTTGGACAAGTTGCTGTCCTTTTGAAAGTCACAACTTCCTTCTGGGCAAAAGGAGATTAAAAAAATCTCTTCTCAGAGCCTCTGGGAGAACAAAGTAGAGTGGAATTATAGGTGCTTTGGGAAGTAGAAACCATGAGGGGAAGTGGCTGTTGTTATCAGCAGCCCATGATCATGTTCCCAACCAAAAATCATCAGCTCTCTGTGAGTTCAGAACTCGCCCCCCCCCCCCAGGTCTGAGCGATTCATCTTAAGGGGTGGATGGAGTTTATCCTGGCTTCTAAGAGGCCAACTTGAGCAACACAGGAAAGGAGAAGCCCAGAGGCTGGCAGAGAAGCCTTGAGCTGTGAGGACCATAGTGCTGTGACCACCAGAGCCCAGGGCTGGTCAGCCCTGAAAACTGGCTACTTTGCAGGTGGGGAAGCTGAGGCCAGAGGGGGGAAAGGGAAAGCCCTGTCCAGCTCTTTTTACTCCACAATACATTTATCTTTCCTCAAATACCTAAAGATGGTGATGATGGCTGTGGTGGTGATGATGATAGTAAGAGCTATTCCATTTAGTAAGTCCCTGCTTACTCAGCCCCCACTGTAGAGACTACACGTTCTCATTTTCACAGCTCTAGAAGATAGTGATTCTCCCCTCCATTTTACGGATGAGGAAACTGAGGCTCAGAAGTTAAGTATCTTGCCCAAAGTTAAGGGCCAGTGAGTGATAAAATAGGTGGATTCTCCCATATGATTCCAAAGCCCTTCTATTCCTCTGCACAGGTCCTAATTTGTAAGGAGCTATTCTACGCAGACCATCGCTGTTGGCGCTTGGAGGCCACCCCTTACTCTCCTGTTCTACGTTATCTCTTAGGGTAGGAGTTCTGCCCCTGTGAAGCCCTCTGTGAGCCCCTCCTCAGCCCACAGGGCCCCCCCCATTGGTTCTTCTGCTATGCTGGCACATGTGGTCAGCCCTGCTCTTGTCTGGGACCTGACTCTACTAGCCTGGCAGCTTCTTAGGGTGAGATTGGACCTTTTCTTTTCCATGGTGGTGAACAGCCAGCTGCATACATGGTGTAGGGAGAAAGACGGCTGCGTCCTACAGGTGGAGCATGGGCAGTGGCAGAGACGCAGCAAAAGCTGTGCGGGAGTTCCAGGGTTTCGGGGTGGGCATGAAGATGGGCTAAGGGAAATGCCACAGTCTAGACGTCCTGTCAGGGAGGCCACGTGGGGATGGGGCTGAGCTGACCAGACGTGGGCAAAGCCTATCTTTGTACTAACTCCATGTCAGGCTCCCTTGGTTCCTGTGCAGTGGGGATGGCAAGGCCCCTTTGTCTGAACAAGTCTGTGAGTGAGATCCGAGATGGGGCATGACTGTGCACCGTAAACCCTCTGGTCACAACTCCCCACGAGTGCCACCCTGGCTGAGCTCCCCGTACCTACTGTGTGCTCCAGCTACGATGGCCCTTGGGGCCAGCAGCGTCAATGCAGCAGAGTTAGACGATGCTGGGCCTGGAGGGCACAGGCAAGGGAGGCGCAGAGGGCACCAGGGGAATTAGGCCTCCCTTGGAGGGCAAGTAAAGGAAAAATAATGGGGATAAGTTGAAAGAGTTAAAAGTGTTGAACACCAAAGTACCAGAGACTGTGCTCAATACTTCACATGATGCCATCACCAAAACGGCCCTATAGAGGAAGTTGTACTGTCCACATCAGGGGTCCTCAAACTTTTTAAACAGCGGGCCAGTTCACTGTCCCTCAGACCATTGGAGGGCCAGACTGCGGGCCCCGGGACGAGTTGGCTGCTAAGCAGGACAGGCAGTGGCGGCAAAAACACCCGGCAGGCCAGATAAATGTCCTCGGCGGGCTGCATGTGGCCCGTGGGTTGTAGTTTGAGGACATCTGGTCCACATTTTACAGAGCAGGAATATGAGGCTCAGAAAACATCAGAGATTAGTCCACGGTCACATGGACAGGAACCAGGGAGCCAGCTCTGACTACACAGAGCTCACACCAAGGGGCGAAACTCCAGCCCGGAGCTTCACTTTGGCCTCACAAGGCTGAGAGCCAGTCTTGGGGAGAGAGTAGGCCCCCAAAGCTGTGGGCTTTTAGAGATCATGGATCCAAGTCCCTCATCTTATCAGAGGGCTGACCGAGGTTCTGAGAGGGCTGTCTGCCGCACACTCACACAGGAAGCACTGGCAGAAATTGCTAGAAAGAAAATCATGTCCTTATCCCCTTTTTTCCCAGGACTACAGGGGGGCTTACCCCCTGAAGATAGGGACGGGATGCTGCTGTACAGGAGGACCACCCTACCCTGCCAGGGCCCGTGGGGTTCTACTCTCAGTCATCCAAGGAAAGCCCCTTCCCCACCACTTCTCTCTGTGGTGGTTAGGGGTGTCCTCCTGTGGGCTGGCTCGCTCTCCCAAGCAGCCTGGGGAGCAGAGACCTTCACTATAGCGGTGCTGGGTCCCTGGGACTGTGATGCCATCTTTGCCCAGGCCCTCCCCAGAGTGGCTGCCCAGCTAGCTGTGGACCAAGCCAACCAGGACCCCTCACTGTTGCTGAGCTCGCGGCTGGCTTCTGTGGTCCTCCCCACTGCCTGTGACACCCCTCATGCCCTGGCCACATTCCTGGCCCACAGGAACACCGTAGCTGCTTTTGTGGGCCCTGTCAATCCTGGCTACTGCCCAGCGGCAGCCCTGCTGGCTCAAAGCTGGGGCAAGACCCTCTTTTCCTGGGCATGTGGTGCTCCAGAGGGAGGAGGAGAATTGGCACTCACCTTGCCTTCTGCTGCCCAGGTGCTGCTGTCCATCATTAGATACTTCGGCTGGGCTCGCCTGGCCATTGTATCCTCTCACCAGGACACCTGGGTGGCCACAGCCCAACAGCTGGCCACAACCTTCAGGATCCATGGGCTGCCTGTGGGGCTGGTGACCTCTTTGGGACCTGGGGAACAGGGGGCTGTGGAGGTCCTGAAGCAGCTCTGCAGCGTGGACGGCCTGAAACGTAAGTACACTCAGGTGTCTTCCTCCTACGGGCAGCCTGAACTGCATGTGGCTACCTGTGGGAGCTCCTGAGCACCTGGCAGTGGCCCTGCCTTTAACCTCACAACAGTCCTATGAGCTAGGCCTGCTGAAGTTTCTATTTTTCACCTCAGACAGGTAAGTAACTGGCCCAAGTTACACAGCTGGCCAGCAATGCGGCTGGATTTTCAGCTCTGATTCAAGTATGGGTAGTGGAGTGGGGGCAAAGAGCATCCTTAGTCATGGCCTGGTGAAATGAAGGGAATGAAAGTCCAGCAGTGCTTGAACCCAGGAAGGGAGTTAGAAGCGTTCTCAGTTTTGTGGCGTTGGAGTCAAAACCATCACAGATTTGTTGATTGATTGATTAATGGCTTCCTTTATTTATCAGGCATCTCTCATGCTGGTTGTTGGTTGCCATAGTGAACAGGGCAGTCACAGAAGCTGGTCTTCAGAGGATGACTATGTAGCAGGGAGATAGGAGTCTAAGCAGGTGGCTATGACAGAGAGGTTGAGGCCATCCAGGGAGCAGAGGCCTGAGAGCCAGAGGAGAGATGGAGTAGGCCTTGGGGGGTCTAAAGAGGCTTCTCAGAGCCTTCTTAAGGAACTAGTTAGCCAGAGAAAGGAGGGGAGGTGTAGCACCTAGAAGGCAGCAGGGGTTTTAGGGATAAGACCCTGTGGGTTGTTGTCCATTTAGATCAAGAAATCAATTTGGTGAATCAAGACTACCATTACCAAGAAAGCAAGAGAGTGGAACAGAAAAAGATAGAGAATAGAATTGAGTAGAATAAATTAAAATAGAATGGAATAAAACTAGTAAGTATGAGAGTTCCTTGCAGGGACCAAGGGTAAGTGTGGTTCTGTGAAACTTCCTTTCAGTGTACTCAGGTTTTGTGAGTATTTCAAGGTCCATGTGTTTCTTACTGTGAGCACAGTCTGCCTGATTTTGGCCAGCTTAGGGGACATGTGGAGGATCTGGCTGGGCCTCAGCCATGAGGAGCCCACATCTGGTGTGGGGGGGGTGTCTACATAGGGAACGGAGGACCCCAGAGTCTGAGGGAGCCAATCTGCTTGGGGGTGGGAAGGACTTTGCAAAGAAGGTGACATGAGGGCAGGACAAGGCAGAGGCTGACAGTGAGAAGCTGATGGCAGAATGGAGTTGAGGGAAAAGGCACTTCAGGCAGTGACCAGCTAGTGCAAAGGAGTGGAGTTAGCAGCTAATAGGACTAGAAGCATGGGGAATTGTTCTGTTCCACGTGGCAGGTGCGTGGCAGCAGCGGTTGGGACCACAGACAATTGCACCCCAGCTGCAGGGGATTGCGTTCCAGTCAAAGCGCTGGCATCCGGGAGCCAGAAGGCAGAGTGGTGAGGGGCAAATTCTCTGGAGTCAGATTACCAGAGTAATCTGCAGCCCCCTCGCTCCGCTGCAGTCCCCTCGCCCCGCTATGTGACCTCATGCAAGTCACCAAACCTCTCTGTTTCTTCATCGATGACTCAAGGCTGATCAAGCCAAAGTTGTAGGCTTATGAAGATAGGATCGCAGAGCAGGGCTGAGAACAGCGCCTGTGCACAGTGAGCACACCTGAAACTGGCTCTCCAGCTAGGGCCTTCCTCCCCAGCCATGTGGATCAGCACCCCCTTGTGGCCAAACACAGAACAGGGTGTCCAGCTCCTAAGAGAACCGGGGGCATTCTGCAAGAAACTGACCAGCAGCGGCAGATAGGACACCCGCCTTGGTTCTGTTCCTATCCTGTCCTAGTGGGTCTCTTTCTGAGGGCCTCCCCAATATCCAGGATATGGAGGGAGTGGTCCATGGCTCATGGTCCACACAGCACAGCCACCCAGGGGCTCAGCCAAAGCCAGGACTCCAGGCTCCAGACTCCATGTGATGAGGGTCTCAGGCTCCGACAAGGAGACCCTCAGCCTTTCTGGGTGGATCCATTTTTCTAAGTTTTCTGGATAAAGGGTTGCAGTAGGAACCTGGGCCAGTCCATTACAAATGGCAGCCTTTCATTGCAGTGGGACCCAGGCCAGGAAGGGAGAAAAGATGTAGAGGTCCAGTGTGGCTGGAGCAGTGGCTCCCTTCTGTCCTGGAGCCTGGGGATAAAATTAGATGCTTTGTGATCCATAGCTGTTTCTTTTACTAAAGGGAAAAGCAAATGTACCCACATTGACTTAGACCTTGAGGATGGCCTCAGTTAAGACTACGATCTGATGACAATAAGCAAAACATGGTCTACCAGGCAGGAAAATGTTATGCAGCCATGAAATACTGACACCTGCGATAAGGCTGAGCCTGGAAAACGTTCCTCTAAGAAGCCAGACATGAAGGACCACATACTGTATGAGTCCATTTGTAAGAAGTATCCAGAATAGGCAAAGCCATAAGGACAAGTAGATTAGAGTTTGGGGTTCAGGAGAGGGAGGAGGAATTGGGAATGACTGCTAATGGGTACAGGATTTCTTTGTGGGGTGGTAAAAATGTTCTAGAATTAAATGGTGATGGTGCTTACACAACTTTGTGAATACACTAAAACCACTGGATTGTACACTTTTTTTAAAATAATGGGTTTTACCTCAATTTATCTCCAAATAGTGATTATCTCAATTAAAAGTAAACTCTCAAACAAGAAAAAAAAAAGCATTACAAACTGGGAGCCAGCCTGCCTGGGTTCAAATCCAAGCCCTCCCACCCTGATGGTTTATATCCTCGGTAACTCCCAAACCTCTCAGTGCGCCAATTTCCTCATCCAGAAAAGCAGAGATAATGGCAAACATACTTCTTAGTGCTCCGTACTACTGGATGACTAAATATTTGGGAAATTACTTCAGGACAACACCTAGAAAGCTGTGAATATCTATTTGCAATTGTCCGGGGCCAGGGTAGAGGTAGGGGTAGAGAAGTTGATCAAAATTATTGGGTGGGAAGGCTGGGAGGACCATATTGATACAAATCTATCCTCCGTTAAAGGGATATTTTTCAACAGATGGAGTCCACATTGGCTGTTATTGTTATGGGGGGTGGGGTGCAGACCACCTTTCTCAGCCCAATGTCTGAGAATTTCAAGCTCTTCCAGGGCCTCAGAACTCTGGGCTTCAGGGAAGACCCCGGGGGAGCTGGGGCTGCAAAGCTGACCTTGCTATCTCTGCCCCCAGTTGTGGTGCTGTGCATGCACTCAGCGCTGTTGGGAGGCTCAGAGCAGACCGCCCTGCTGAGCCATGCATGGGCTGAAGGCCTGGCAGACGGGAGGGTGGTCTTCCTGCCCTACGACACGCTGCTTTTTGCCCTGCCCTACCGCAACCGCTCCTACCCAGCCCTGGGTGCTGGTGGGCCCCTGCAGAAGGCCTATGATGCAGTGCTCACCATCAGCCTGGAATCCAGCCCTGCAGAGGATGCCTTTACTGCTGCCAGGGTGGGTGGAGAGATGGCTTCCCACCTGGAGCCAGACCAGGTAGGTCCCTGCAGACCCCCCCCAATGCCCTGAGGGTAGGACATGGACAGATGTGCATGCGCTTCTCACCCATGCCAGGCCCTCCTTCACTGTGGGCACAGGGCCTGTCTCTTTCTGACAAAATATCTTTCTGCCTAGTCCCTCGGTATAGTCAATCTCTCTCTCTCTCTCTTTCTCTCTTGCTCTCTCACAAGTATGTGTACTGTATGTGTCATAGGTATGTATACAGTATTTCCCCCTTATCTACAGGGATATGTTCCAGGACTCCCAGTGGATACCTAAAACCACTAATAACACTGAACCCTTATATGTACTACAATTTTCCTATACATAGGTACCCGTGATAAAGTCTAACTTATAAATCAAACACGGTAAGAGGTTAACAATGACTAATAATAAAATGGAACAATTGTAACAATAGACTGTAATAAAAGTTATGTGAATTGGGTCTTTCTCTCTCAAAATATCTGAATATTTTCAGGCCACGGTTGACCGTGAGTAGCAGAAATTGCAGAAAGGGCGATCACAGAGTAGGGGAGACTACTGCGTGTCTATGTCTCTCTGTCTCTCTTCTTCCTGGCTTCACTCACCCTTTTGACCTGCCATGTCATTTTCTGTGTCTCTTTTGCTGCTATTTTTTTTTATCCCCAGCTCTTTGGATCTCTGTCATTCTCATTTCCGGCGCAGATGGTCTTTCTCTTGCAGACATTCTTCCTCTCCTGGCTCTGTGTCCATTAGCTAATGATAAAGGAGAAAGTGTTGGGAGTGCGGAGAGCTGGGGAGAGGGGAAGAGTCTCTGAAGTCACTGCCAGGAATCTGGGGAGTGTTTGTGGCAGGGGGTGTGGCTGCTGGCCTGGGTTAGGCGGATGGGACTCAGCTGAACTCAAGTCTCCCTTGGCAGTTCTGCTTCTTGGTCATAAGAAGGCAGTAGTGTCTGGTGGTGGTGACAGGGATGCAGATGCTGATGGAGATTCATTCGATCAGTCATTCATCTGACAGATGTGGACTGAGTCCCTTTCATGTGCCACCATGCCTGGTGTCACAGACCTGGTGATGAGCAAGACAGACCTGGACTTCAAGGAGCTTCCATTCTGTTAGGGGGATACAGACAATAACCAGGTCATCGGATAACTAAATTCATGTAGTGATAATGCTACCAAGGGACTAGAACAGGAAACAGTGGCAGAGAGTGGCCAGAATGGAGTAACGAGCAATGAGAGAGAGATGGGCAGGGAAGCGCTCTCTGAGACATTGGCCCCTGAGCTGAGATCAGAATGGTAAGGGGGCAGCCAGCTGAGGATCTGGGTGAAAAGCAGCCAGGCAGGGGCAGCAGCAGTGCAAAGGCCTTGTGCAGAGGGAGCGCCACTTGCTGGAGTAACAGGCAGGAGAGAGTGTGGAGTGGCTGGACTGTCACAGGTGATGGGGGGACAGATGAGATGGGCTTGGGGCCTGAGCATGTGGGGCACTATAGGCCAGGAGAAATCTGCACTTATAGGAAGTCAAATGGAGACCACCAGTGGGCTTTAAGTAAGAACTGATTTGGTTTATACATTTAAAAAAGTCACTTTTGTTGCTTTATGAGGAATAGCTTGAAGGGGCCAGAGGAAGCAAGGAATCCCTTAGGAGGCCCTGTGTGGTCTAGGTGAGCAGTGGGGGCTCAGACCCAGCTGGCAGGAGTAGGGGTTCAGATGGGGACAAATTCTGAAATAAAGCCCCCAAAACTTGATGATGAACTGAAAGAGAGAAAGGAGTCGGGGTCAAGCCTCAGTTTTCAGCTTGAGAAACTGATTAGGGGAGTTCCACTTCCTAAAGTGCGGGGAGGTGGGGAGGATGAGGTTCAGTGTGGCAGAATCTCCTAGAACCAGGACCTTTGCTTTGGACATATTAAGTTTGAGATGTCTGCAAGACATTGGGATCGGTGGTAGCTCTATGGTCGTGGCTGTGGGGGCTGTGAACCTGCTGAGGTCCTGTAAGGTCCTGTAAGGTCCTGTAAGGGCCAGGACTTGGAGATGCTTGGGGGCCCTGTGCCATGGAACTGAGGAAGCTTCTCTTCCATAGGTATCTCCACTCTTTGGGACCATCTATGATGCTGTTGTCCTGCTGGCCCATGCCCTGAACCGCTCTGAAAGCCATGGGGCAAGGCCCTTGGGGACTCACTTAGGAGACCACATAGGGTCTCTGGATGTGGCCGGCTTTAGCCAGAGAATTCGGACAGATGAGAAAGGGAGGAGGCTGGCCCAGTACATCATCCTGGACACAGATGGTCAAGGAAGTCAGCTTGTCCCCACTCACACCCTGGACACAGGCACGTGGCGAGTGCAGCCCCTGGGTAGGGCTATACACTTTCCAGGAGGAGCCCCTCCATCCCATGACTCGAGCTGCTGGTTTGACTCCAACATGCTGTGCATAAGAGGTAAATCATCATCCATCCACCCATTCACCCATCCATCCATCCATCTATCCATGCATCCATCAGCCATTCACCCACCCATCTATCTATCAGTCCACCCATCATTTACCCATTCATTCATCCATTTATTCATCATCAATCATCTATCATCCAACCACGCATTGATCAATCCATTCATCATCTACCCATGCTATTCATCCATCTATCTATGCATCCGTCATGCGTCCATCCATCCAGGAGCAGGTGCAGAGAAGGGACTTTGACGCTTCACTGAGAAGACTGAACTAGTGCTATCTCCCCTCAGTTGAGCAGGGCTAGAGCACCTCCAGAGCACCTCCCATCTCTCAGCTCTCCTATGCTTCATCATGGCTTTGTGACGAGGCTGTTACCTTTTGTGGGCGCCAGTAGAAAAGTAATGCTCAAAAAGATCTGGTGACTTCCCAAGGTCACACAGGGAGGCGGTGGCTGAAATCATGCCAATAGATTCCAAGTGCAGGATTCCTTTTCCTCACGACACTAGGAAGTGTGAGACATGGAGGCACGACAGGTCTGATTTCTATCATTCATCCATCCAGAGTATCACCTGTGATGAAGTTGCACTGACATGTACAGGTGTAGGTACGTAGAGATGCTCACACACTGTGTATAAACAAGTGCACGCACGTTCCTGAGGCCCACTTAGTTACCATGACCATCACTGGTGGGAAAACTCAGATGTGCCAGGCTTGCTGATGGCTCTGCCCTCCCCTAAGCCTCCTCATCCTCCTCCTGACCCAGGCTCTGCCATTTTCTCGACACTGCTCTATGGATATGACCAACTCCTCGTGTTTCCCTAAACACACACCACTTTCTTGTCTGTGATGACATGAGCATTTTCCTGTCCCTGACACCCCCAACACCACTCAGCCTTGCCTGGCTGACTCCTATTTGTCCTTCGAGGCTGGCTCTGTAGTTAAGGTTGGGGCCCCTCCTTGCGCCCCCAAATTCCCCTGGGGGCAGTGCATCATGTTCATGGAATGCCTGTGCAGTGCTGGGGAGGACCAGAACTGTCCCCGGACTACATGAAGTGCTAAGAAGTGTCTCTGGAAAGGGAGAACCTTGAAGAAGCCTTGACTAAAGCATTCATTTGTTCCTCTTTTCTTCCACAAATATTGATGGAAGACCTACTGCCCCAGGAGCTGTGCTCAGCCCTGAGGGAATGGGAGTGAATGAAGCAGTGTCCCTGCCTTGTGGAGCTGGCGCTCTTAAAGACCAGACCCAGGCTCTGCTCTCCAGGGGCATTGGTCTGGTGGCAAATACAGGCCAGCCAGAGGCATCACCGCACAGCATAATCGGAGCCATGCCAGGGACAGCCAGAGGCAGGTCAAGCCCAGAGATCTTTACAGCTCCCCTTTATCAGTCCTGGCTTGTGGACTTCACCCTATGGTAGATTTTAACAAACTCATTTAATAAGCCAATCAGCAAACACATATAGGGTGTCCACTGTGTGCTAAAGTCAGTGCTGAGAATTGAGGTGATGGTGGAGAAGATTCATGGCCACTCTCAGGACCTAAGATGGAAGGAGAAAGAGAGTAAAGGCAGGTGGACAGGGCCCTAAGAGGGGGCATCAGAGGTGGAAGGACCCTGAGCAGCAGCACCAACCTTGGAATTTGTCTTCTCCAATATTCCACTGCCTGCATACTTGTCCAGACCCCGTCCTCCCTCACTGGCTAGGGCAGCAGTCTCCCCATGGCCTCCCTGTATACCCTTGGCCTCATCCTTTGAAGACATGATCAGATCTGCTGCTCTGGCCCCTCAGATTCTAACTCAGGACTACCATAGTTAGCACAAATACAGCTAGTCAGGTAACATGATTGAGAGACCAGAAAGCAGGGGCTTTGAGACCAACATACTTAGGATTGCAGCTCAACACTGCTGCTCACTAGCTGTGTGACCTCGGGGCAAGTTGCTTACGCTCTCTGGGCCTCCATTTCTCATCTGTAAATAGGAATAAAGACCTAGCATCCCCAGCTGCTTATCCCCAGGGGCAGGCCCTATACTTTCATACTTTTAGAAGGGGCTACTTGGGTCATGTTTCCTCAATGAGATCCACTCCCCCAGGTGGCACTTAGGAGCCCAGGGATGAGTCAAGCTTTTCCTATGGGAAGATGTGGCAGGGGGAAGTCGGGGGATACACCCATCCTGGGCTGGATTCTCTGACTCCCTGTGTCTTGGTGTTGTATTGATAAGAGAATTCGCCGCTGCCTTTGTTTTCGCTAAGGGTTTCTTGTCTTGGAACGCTGGAGCTTAGAGATGCACTTACACACTTCTTTTTGGTCTTTGCTCATTTCTCATCTCCTCCTTTATAATAAAACGCCTTGAGATAGCTGTTTATACTTGCTGGACTGAACGGCTCCTCCCATTGACTCTCTCCCACCCCTCCTTGACATGAACACTCACACTGAGGTCACCAGTGACCCCTGTGACCGAGTCCCTTGACCAGGGGTCTGACTGCTCCTTCCTCCCCGTAGCCTGCCCCTTGCCAGGGTCCCCCAGGGCCCCCTAGCCTATTCCCATCAGCTCCTCTGGCTGAGCACTTTTGAACTCTTGTTCTCTCTCTCCTACACTCACTCCTCTGGGGTCCTGTTCATTCCGTGGCTTCCAAATTGGCACCAGGCCTTGTTCTCTCTTTCTAACACATATGTCCAGCTCCTTACCCAACATTTCCATTTGGATGTCTAGCAGGCATCTCAAGTCAATGAGCCTGAAGCCAAACTCCTGATGGCCCCCAGCCTGCTCCAAACAGTCCTCCCCCTAGGTAAGGAGAACACCCCCAAAGCTCTGCACCCCCACACTAGTCTAGCAGCACACACTGTGGGCTCCTTGTTTAGCACCTGCCCAAGCCCAGAGCACAGCCCACCACTCCACTGCCTGTACCCTCACCCAGGCGCGGTTCCCTCTCATTAGCTAGAGCAGCAGTCTCTGCAAGGCCTTCCTGCGTCCTGCCTTTGACCTGACCCTTCCAAGACATGATCAGATCTGCTACTGCTCCACTCACATCTGCAGAGCCTCCCACTTCACTTAGAGAAGAGCCAAAGTCCTCATAGTGGACTTCTTGGGCACTGTCCCCTGTCACCTGCCTGCACTCATGCCTTACACATGCTCTGCCCTGCTGCCCTGGCCTTTTAGCTGTTCCTGGAATGTAGCCCCATGTTTCTGCTTCCCAGCCTCTGTGTTTGCTGTTTGTAGGTCTGGGGTGCTTCTCCATCTCATGTCCTATGGCTTGTCCCCTCTCTTCCTCTGGAACTTGACTCCAGTCTTCCTATAAGCCCTGGGTGAGAGGCAGGATGCCACAGCCAAACTTCCAGGGTTTTTTTTTTTTTTTGAGACAATCTCAAGCTGTCACCCTGGGTAGAGTGCTGTGCCATCACAGCTCACAGCAACTTCAAACTCTTGGGCTCAAGCAATTCTCTAGCCTTAGTCTCCCAAATAGCTGGGACTACACGTGCCCGCCACAATGCCTGGCTACTTTTTGTTGTTGTTGTTGCAGTTGTTGGTGTTTAGCTGGCCCCGGGCTGGGTTTGAGCCTGCCGGCCTCGGTGCATGTGGCCAGTGCTATAACCACTGTGCTATTGGCACTGAGCCACGGCTATTATTTTTGCTGCAATTGTCATTGTTGTTTTAGCTGAGTCGGGCTGGGTTTGAACCCACCAGCCTGGGTATATGTGGCCAGCACCCTACTCACTGAGCTACGGGCATCGCCCCAAACAGCCAGGATTTGAACCAGACTCTGCCAATCACAGTTAATTAATCTTTGTTTCTTTACCTCCAAAGTCATGGTCATGACCACAGCTTCTTCCAAAAGTTATCGGGAGGGATAACTAACCGAAATACATAACATCCCTAGCATAGGTGCCTAGAACAATGCAATATACAATCGTAAAATAAGTACCAGGAAGTATTTATGCTTCACGGTGGTGCTGTGCTGCTCTTATTATTATCTGGACTCAATTCAGATTGGGGCATCACAAGAGGGGCAGGCAGAACGGAGTTTGTCCTGTAACAAAGGGAAGCAGGGTAAGAGTCAAGGAGGGAAGAAGAAATGGCCCTTCCTTCTGTGACGGTGGAGGTCACTGTTCTCTCTCCAGACTGGGACCAGGCATTTTCCCCCCTCATCAGCCCTCGATGGTGCTAAGGTTGCCCAAGTAAAGTAGCCCTCCCCACCTTGCCTGTTTAGAGCCCCTAAACAGCCTCTCTGTGTCCGACTCCTGACACAGAGGCTGGAGATTTAGACTCACTATAAGAGGGCTCTTCTAATCGTCAGAGCCATCCCACAGTAAAACTGACTGCCAAAGCAGGTAGTGAGTGGCCTGTTGCAGGAGGCATACAAGAAGTGGGACACCAAACGGGATCCATGTCACAATTTTTATCCAGCACCTGCCCTGTCCAAACTTGTGTCAGGTGTCAGTTCTGGTGAGAGGACAAGAGGAGTAAGGCAGAGACCCTGCTGTCCCACTGCTCTTAGTCTAGTGGGAAGGGCCTGACGTGTGGGCAGACAAAAGGCCATCATGTGATCAGGATTGTAATGGGGTCTGGGCAGGATCTGTGAGCTGTGGGGCAGGGAGGCCAAAGTGCAGACACAGACAGCAGTGCCGTGGATCGCTGTCTGTGTGTCACAAACCATCCACAGGGCTATTCTGGGCCTTGCCCCTGGTGAGGAGGCTGGGCAGGGGCTGCATGCCTATTTCCAAGGGAGGAACTGAGGGAATGAGTGACTGCAGACCTGCCCTCAATGTGTGGTGTTATGTAATGACTCTAGTCTGTCCCTCCTTCCCTGGCAGGTGCACAGCCTCTGGACAGCCTCTCCATGGTGGCGCTGGCTAGCCTTCTAGTGCTGGCAGGAGGGGCCCTCAGCTGCCTCATCAGGTGAGACTCTGAACTGGAGCCTGGCTCTGCCTCTCCATGCACCACCCCCCACCAGGGGTCTCCCTGCTGCCAGCACAGCCCTAGAAATCTGCTTTCCCAGCCTTCGACCCTGGGCACTTGGGGCCCCTCTGTGATCATGCCCATCCTAGAGCCTTGGCCAGGACTCGTCAAGACCCTCGGAAGGTCCATTTGAGACTTGAGGGGGAGGAAGCCTGTAATCTTGGACAGGACTCCATCCCTGAGCTTCAGGCTTCCCTCTGTAAAATGAGGGGCTGGCTGGGATGATTCCCAAAGGCCCTTCAGCTTTGAAAACAATCCTCCCTGGGTCTAAGTTTTTCTGTGTTCCTGAATCCAGGCCATCGTGAGCTTTGGCACATCTGGACGGGGGCAGCCTTCCACTCTTACCCCTCACCGTGCCACCCCTGAGGCTCCAGGCAACTTGGGAATGCTGAGGCTTAGGCTAGCAGGGGCATCAGGCCCTGGGGGTCCAGACCTGAGCCCAAGGCTCAGGGGCTCTCTGGAGACAGTGCCCAGCTGGGATTACTGGGGAGACAGAAATGGAAACAGGGAGAGAAAATGGAGGGCTCTAAGTCAGAGACAGGGCCAAGCAGCCAGTCCAAGGTGGGGGTGACGTTTGTATCCCCCACTGCCCTGCACTTTCTTTTGCTTTCAGATTGGGTATCCGGCAGCTGCGGCTGGTACGGGGCCCTCACCGGATCCTGCTGACAGCCCAAGAGCTCACCTTTATCCATACCCCAAGCAGATGGGTATGTGGGGCAGGGGCTAGGCTGGGAGGGGAGGAGGAGGACTGGGGCCTGTTCTGGGCTCCTTACCACGCCCATCCCCTCCAGAGGCTGCATATGGACAGTGAGTCAAGAAGTGCAGCAGATGGTGGGAGCCTGAGATCCATGGCTCAAGGGTCAGCAAGGAGCTTGCTAGACACTCAGGAGCCCACCAATGTGGCCCTGTACCAGGTGAGGGCCTCTGCCATCCCCATGCCCAGGCCTGGGGGTGCTATAGTCAGTTTGGAGAAGTTGAGGCTAGCCCATAGCCTCTTGGGCCTCTGTGTGCCCAACTCTTGTTACAGAATGGGAAACTGAGGCCTGGGTAGGAGCAACTTTCCTGGGTCACTCTGACCAAGTGCACAGCAGAGCTGGGAGAGGGAAGCAGGGCTTCCAATGCCAGCCCAGCATGCTTCACAATCTAAGCCAGGGAAACAACCAGTTCCAGGGCACTTGGCCCTGGACACTGCCAGAGTGTTCCTCCCCAGGGCCTTTCTCAGTGGCCGGGGACAAGCCCAGGTCACCCTCCCACCTGCTCATGCAAGGTGAGATGCCGGGTTCCCATAGGCCCTGATGTGTGGGGCCAGCACCCAGCCCAGGACAGCTGTGGGCAGAGGCCAGGCCACCAGCCGACAGGGCATCTGGAAAGTCAGAGGTTACTGAGGACATTACAACTTCTCAGGTACTGTCACTCTCAAATTCAACAGTCCACTGAGGTTACAGTTCTCCTACGCAGCAACTCTCACAGTTGACAGACCCAGCTAATTGTTTCTACAGGAAGCAACAAGAGACTCTCCTCCTTTCCACCTGTCCCCTGGGGAATCCCATCTCTTTGCTGCTGAAAAGAGGCTTTAATGATGTGCAAAGAGTGTTTTGTCTGTTTCTCTGAGTTAGCTGACAGGCTGCCAGTGAGCCTGAGGAGGCGAAGCCCATCACGGATGGGAGAGAGGAGGCCACAGTTACATCCGCCCTAGGCCAGGCCACAGCAAAGGCAGGGCCCTGACCTGAGGGCTCACTTTCCCTAGAGTCCCTGGGTCACAGACACCCCAATGCTTCACAGGGTTAGGGGTGTCATGGGTGCCTGGGGCTGGCAGGACAAAGCTGACGTCCAGGCTGGGAATGTGCAGGCTTCATACCCACCATCTCATAAGCCCTGGAGATGTGGGGGGTACTGTCAACCTCCCTTCACAGACTTTGAACATGTGGCTCAGAGAATGGAAGTCAGCTACCCCAGATCATAGAGCTAGAAAGTGGTGGAGTCAGCTCTGCCCCAGGAGTACAAGTTTACCTGCTGCTTCCACTGACCAGGCTCTGCCATAGCCAGGGAACGGCAGCAGCTGAACTCCCCTGTTCTTCTTGGGCAGGGCGACTGGGTGTGGCTGAAGAAGTTTGAAGTGGGCCGGGCCCTTGACCTGCGCCCCAGCAGCCTCAGTCTCCTGAGAAAGGTAGAGCTTCCAGGGATGGGTGGGAAGGGGAGGAGAGCTGAGAGGGATGGGTGGGGAGGGGAGGGGAGCTGAGAGGGATGGGTGGGGAGGGGAGGGGGGC